GACGCCTAGATCCGTGACTCTGACTCGCTCGATCTCCCGGCACGCCCGATGCCTAGATCCGCGACTCCGACTCGCTCGATCCCTCGGCGCACCCGATGCCTGGATCCGCAAGTCCATCTCATTCGATCCCTTGGCACGCCCGACGCCTTGGCTAGCAACTTTGACTCGCCTAATCCCCGGATCCGTGACTCTGATTCGCCCGAACCCTCGGTACGCTCGACGCCCCGGTAGACAAAACTCCATCTCGCCCAGTCCCTCGGCCATGACCAAACGCCTAGGACCACGCTTCTGGAAACGATGGGCCAAAAACTAGAAAAGGGAGGCTACGCCCACCAAAGTGCACACACTCACGCCCGCTGACACAACCCCCAGGCGATTCTGCCCGAATCATCCAGGGGCTCGGAGGCTACACCCGTGGGTGTGTTCGTGCGCACACGCTGACGAAACAAAACTTCCCCTGCTGGCAATACGAAAAATGCCCCAGACGATTCTACCCAAATCACCCAGGGGCTCGGGGGCTACACCCGCGGATGCGCTCGCGCACACCCGCCGTTAAGACAAAAATCCCCCAGACGATTCTACCCGAATCGCCTAGGGGCTCGGGGGCTCCTGTCGGGTTCATAAACCCGGGGTCCCTCATGGACCGGCTTCCCAACAAAGGCTCAGCCTAGCAGACAATATCGCAAACGGCGCGCAACTGCTGGGCCAGCCCAAAAACCGAACAACACACCAGAAGGGCGATCCAGTCTCCGACCGAAAGGCCTAGCCAAAGGAGGAACGGCGCCCGCTTCCGACTCTGGCCCGCCTCTCCAACCGGAAGGCCTCGACTCTGACCTGACCCGCGTCTCCGACCGGAAGGCCTGGCCAAAGAAGAATAGCACTCACTTTTGACTCCGACCCGCATCTTTGATCGGGGATGCATCGTACCTTTGCTTACAGCTCTTCTCCGACTAGCGCAGTCGGAGCCGACTGGGGCCAACCGACCGGGGACGCCCGCTCGGTGAGGACTAGGTAAACGAGCGAAATAGGTAAAGCAGGACACTCGAGTCAAACTGCAATACCGAGGACCGTACCCTATACACCTGCAGGATAGTACCAACGGGGCATGACAGAAGGGTACCCTGCAACGTTCCTGGCATGTCAGAACCCATGCAGTGTTGTAGGCGTCAACATTTACCCTATAGTGTTGTGGGCGCCAACAACTCCCATACCAGACAAACACAGTAAGGCTCCCCCCACATGCCTCTGGGCATCAACAGTGTTGTGAGCGCCGTCATTTACCATACATGGTGAATGCGGTAAAACGTCCCACATGCGTCTGACAACAATAGTGTTGTGGGCGCCTACCATCATCTTGTACCCGACGGCATGAGAAACAAGACTTGGTAGCATATGTACTCTCTCTCTCTCTCTTATAAGGCCATCCCCTTCATCTATAAAAGGGGATGCACTCTCTCCCAACAGAGATCAGTTCACTTAGATCGATCAATTCAACACACAACAATAGAACCACCAGGTTCAAACCTCGAGCACACGCTCGAACACTTAGCACATAGCGGAGCTCCTGTCACTCTCGGTCCTTCAGACTAGAGTATGACTGGACCTCTTGCACCCCCATCTTTCTCCCTTCTGTTTGTAACCCCACAACAAACTTCGAGCACCCGGGCTCAGGAATAAAGTCACCGACCGACTCAAACTGGACGTAGGGCACATTGCCTGAACCAGTATAAACCCTGTGTCATTGAGTGCTAGGCCACATCTGATCACAACGTACGACAAAACTACAAATATTTACGTGTTGGTCACTTTCTGTACCGACAGATAATATGTGTCAAAATTATGTAAAAAACTAAAATATTCGTCAAATCTATGTGTAAGTTATTAATATAAGTTATCATTGAAAATAATTAAATAGACATAAAGTATGTTATATGTGTTCCTACATTACCCACTTCTATTGCTTTTTATAAATTTACAGTAAACTTAAATGCTATGTACCATCATGTTGATTCGGCATATATGCATACATTAGTGATAAACATATATTTTAATAGTTTGTGGATCGTAAATAATATTCCCATAACAAACCACATGTCAGTGTAGCTCTTTTACAATGGTTGGGGGTACTTCTTGGTTCCTCTTAGTTCCTAAGCAATTAATTAGCGTTAATTAATTTTATGAGTGGAAGGTTAATATAGTAATTGCGGCTCCCCCTCCCCCCGCCACCCCTCCGCCACGCGCACCTGAAGGATGTGAGTAGGTCCGTGGACTCGAGGCTTCCCTACCCTCGGCCTTAGCCGCGGCCTCCTCGCCCTCGACCTCGCCATCGCCCGACGCCACTGCCACCAGCCTGCCCTCGCCACCACCGGTCGCTCCTCCCTCCTCCCCCGGCACCCCTCGCCCACGCGCACCCGAACCCCATCGCGGTGATAGAATATCTTGTCCTCTGCGACGGGGATTCCCAGCCAAGCGCACACCGTATAAAGCAACTGGGCGGCCCCGAAGCGAGAGAAGAGGTCCGATTTCTGCTTGCCTGCCTACCGCACAGAAGAGTTAAGATGCCGCTCCATTGACACGGTCCATACCCATCGCAATAGCTCGGCATCTGCATCTTGGCCTCATCGCCGTCGTGCGCGCTTACCGTCTGCCGGCCTGTAGCACCGACTCTACCTCATTGCTGTCGTGTGCGCCCACCGTCCACTGGCTTGCTGCACCGACTCCTACCACCGTCTTCGTCTTCATCGACATCTTCTTCCGGTGCCAACAGCAAGGGAAGGGAAGGAACTCCGTCCTAGTCCTGGCTTCCATCTTCTCTCCCAAGTCGAGTCCTCACTGGATCTGGTACGTGCCTACGTACTGCTCTTCGCTTCCGTATCATACATACCACGCCGTGCTCCTCAATTCCGTTTTCAATTTTAATAACTCGACTTGACTCGATCCATGGTCTACGCTTTCCTACTGTTTGTTTAGATTTATGGCAACCGTTTTGAATTTTAATAACTCGACTTAGACCTTCACTCGATCCATGCTCCACACTTCTGTATGTTTTGTTTAGATTCATAGCACAAATTGAGATTTTTTTTTGACGGAGTGAGTAGTGTATGTTCGTAGCGGTTTAGAGGAGGAGAACAGCATGCTGTTGTGCGTGGGATGTTTAGTGTTTATTATCCACCACTTTAGTTGTTTATTTAGAATGGTGTTTAATTTCTTAAGTTTTAATGTAATGTCCACGATTAAATGTAAGTGAAAAATTGAATTCGATGATACAACGGTACTAAAATAGTACATAAGATTAGACTAAGGATCCCATGCCATGGCTTTCGTATATCTTTTTTTTGTTGTCTCTTCTCAAATGTTCTGATTTTGTGGGAGTAATAATTTTTTAATCAAAAAACCATTGAGGCTGCATCCTATTTTGTAGTCTACAATTTTTAGCATGAGTCAAAGTGATGATTGATAAGTAGCTGTGTTTCGAACATGGATGTTTGCTAATGATGAAGATATAGGTCTTATCTGCTTGGAGCTGCACTAAGATTCTGTATAGTTAATGGCAAGATGGGTTTTCTTTGTTAAGATTCAACTGATCAATTTGTGCTTGGCATTGAGAATTTTCTGATTAACTTGCTGTTTTGGTGGTTACTACAGTCCAATATAATAGTTCTCTCCTGACCATACTCATTGCAATTTTCTTATTTTATCATTTGAACGCTACGTACCTTAGAGTGATCCTGAATCATGATGCAAAAAACGTGACTTGTTGCTGAAAATCTCTTGGCAGTTCTCAATGCTGCATATATCTTTTTAGTGAATGCATGCCTTTTCGTAAATAAGGTTCAAACTTTATTCAGGAGGTTTACAAGATGGCTAGATTCTGACACATCATTTCTTTAGTGGATTCCTTCTCTCCTGTGATGCAACTTTGGATGCGCAATCCTGATTGTAATACTTTCCAACACTTGTGCCACTGGATCATGATTTTAGTGAGCCCCAACTTCTACAGAACTAGTATTTTGTTGAGACAAATCAGTTATAAGCATACGTTTGTGTCCAATAAATTTGTTCACCATGTAAGATCGTTGTTGTTAGTCTTGTTTGAGTTTGCGTTTGCATTTGCTCACCATTACCCGCAGCGGAATGGTTGTCCGATAAGTTTGTTCCTGTGTAAGATCATTGCTTCAACTACTTTCGGCTGCCGCCGTAGCTTCAAAACTGCAGACTCCTGTAGCACAACCAGCTGTATTTTTTTATTTACCGAGGGAAAAAATGGAAGATCCTTTTCTCAAGATAAGAGGGAAAGTATGTGGAGAATGGTTAGCACCACCCCCAGTTGTTGCCGTAAATCTGAAAACTTTCCTGCACAAAACTTGCTCCACTCAGTTCACTATTTGTTGGCAGCTTGCTATATCTTTCCGTAAATACTAGTAACTCTGAAAATCTCCCCCATGTAGTACTCCGAATAAATGCATACATCTTCCTAGCTAAAGCAATGCTTTTGGGTATTAACTCTGAAAATCTCACCTAATGGGCCACTAGCAGCTGACAGTGACTGGTCATTAGAGTAATAGCCAACTGTGATTTGAGTTTGGACACTGAATAATTACATGCACCTTTTAGTGAAAGCACTGCTTTAGGGTGGTTGCCTGCTTGGCGATCATGTGATACCCTTCCTAAGACCACATCCTCTTCAATTATAATTCTGTACTAATTGTATATATTTGAGCTCACTAAACCTGTGCTGGTAACACATTAGGTAGCTTATTTATGCCATGACTTATATGAATCTATAACTTCATATATGCAGTTTTACAAAGAATTGATATTATTCTTGAAGCTGATATATTTTTATATTTTTTAGTAAAATACAAGGGCAGTCCTTAAACTTGTACTTATTCTACAACATTAGTCCATATGCTTGATAGGAGCCATGTCTTTCTTCAATTAGTCTAATTTGTTTCGTGGAATTTTAATTTATTTAATGTTGTTGATGGATACATGAGGAAATGTTGGATCTTGAGTCTTTACTGGAGTACAATGAAATTGTTAGGAATAGGTTTGCTAATGAAGAAGAAGGATTTCAGTTCTATAACAACTACGGTTTTGAGAAAGGATTTAGTGTGAGGAGAAGCTATTGTGAGTGGGGCAATGGCCACAATGAGATGACTCTTCGGAAGTCCGTTTGCAGTCGTCAAGGTTTCCGTGAAGAGAAGCAGCTGAAGAGGGCGATTAAGAAGCGGAAGCCTAGGAATATTACCCGTGTTGGATGCCTTGCTAAATTTGTGATTGCACGAGATCAGATCACAGGGCAGTGGTATGTGAAGGATTTCATCGATGAACACAACCATCCGATGGCGCCAGTAGAGCTTACTTGTCTGCTATGTTCACATAGAAGAATCAGCGATGAGAAGAAAGCTGAGATTATGGAGATGGAGAGTTCTAGGATCCACAAACACAAGATAATGGATATTTTGGAAATGCGGTATGGTGGGTATGACAAGGTTGGGTGTACAATAAGGGACTTGTATAATTTCTTCCATCGCTATAAGGCGGAGACAATTGCTGCCGGTGACGCTCAAACAGTCATCAGTTACCTGATAGAACTTCAGCGCAGAGATCCTGATTTCTTTTTCAAGTACATGGTTGATGGGGAAGGACACCTGAAGGGACTATTCTGGTGTGATAGTCAATGTCTGCTTGATTATGAAGCATTTGGTGATGTCATTGTATTTGATAGCACCTACAAAATTAATCGGTACAACCTACCCCTTGTTCCTTTTGTTGGGGTGAATCACCATCGAAGCACAGTTATTTTTAGATGTGGAATTATTTCTTATGAGAATATTGAGTCATATGTGTATTTGCTGAGTACATTTTTCGAGGCCATGATTCAGAAGCATCCGGTCTCCGTGATCACTGATGGAGACCTTGCTATGCAGAGAGCAATCAGGCTGGTGTGGCCGAATTCATCGCATAGGCTCTGCATATGGCATATTGAGCAGAACATTGTGCGTAATCTTAAGGATGATGTTGTCAAGGATGAATTTAGGAGTTTCCTTTATGATTGTTGGTCCATAGAAGAGACCGAGAGAAAATGGCAGGAATTTTTGGATAAGCATAAGGTTACAAATAAGGAGTCATGGTTGTATCAGATGTATGATATGAGAGAAATCTGGTGTGCTTCGTATCATGCTGGTAAGTGCTACTTAGGACTGAGGAGCAACCAATGGAGTGAGAGCCTAAACTCTAGGCTTCATATGCGTCTAGATCGTAAAATGACACTGCTTGACATGGTAAAGCACGTGGAGCACTGCCTTTCAGGGCTGCGCACAAATGAGGCAAAGTTGGACACTGATGCATTGCAATCTGAGGCATGCACAGAACCAGATGCTTCAATTATTGAGATAGAAGCCATGAAATCGTTCACTCCAACAGTTTTCGCCATGGTGCAGTTCAGCATAAAGGCAGCCAAGAAGTGTTTTTCGATTGACATTCTAGATGGCGATAATATGAGTGAGTATATTGTTGGCAGGAAGGATAAAGGAGACATGATGTACTATGTCAAATGTCAATTTTGTGATGAAGGCAATCTGAAAGGGATTTCTTGTACTTGTGGTAAGTTGCAATCGATTGGAACCCCTGCTCACACATCTTCTTTGTATTGGGTGATCTGGATGAAGACAAGCTTCCAGACTGTTGTGTTTTGAAAAGGTGGACAATGGGGGCGAAGTGTGGCAGAACTGGCTGAAATAACGCACTTACGGAGGCACTCGTCTTCCACTAGACACTAAGCACCCCGAGAGCGAGCTACAACAGGCGGATTCTGTCGGGCACACCCGAAGGGAGAGCCCGAATAATCCACATTTTTCTCGTAGGATCCATTAATGAGAACGAGTTTACATTACTTAGTCCATTTTATACATCTAGAGTTCTTAGAAATATATTATTACAGAACCAAATTCAGAGTGTGGAAATTTAACAGCGGAATGAAAAGAAACATCTATCGATAATTTATAAGGATTCGTCTATGCCCACCAGAAGAATCCTTCACACAACGGCTAGTCCTCAAGCAGTACCTACAACATGGATAAATAAACCCTGAGTATACAATGTACTCGCAAGACTTATCCGACTAGTGGGAATAATTTCCTGACTCCAAGGGATATGATGAGCTTTATGGTTTGTTGAGTTTCTTTTTTGCGGAAAGCAATACTAATAGTGAATCCTTTGTCGACACAAAATTTTTGTCCCGTGCCGAGGGCATATGAGCAAGCCGGAAGGGTCCGCTCGATGGAGCTGAAGATTCGCCTAGCTTCAGCGCAAGGGTGGTCGATCCTGCGCACTCCTCCCGAAACGTGCCAGTCAATTTGACCCTGTAATTGACAAGGAGAGAAAGTTTAACATTAATTTATGGCGGAATGTGTCGGTGTTGCCAGACAGTCCCGAAGGTGCGGCTCTGAGAGCCGATATGAAAAGAGATCGACTAAATAGTCGATTCCAGCATATTCATAAGAATGAATCAGTTAAAACTCATGGGGGTATGTAAGAAGAATCGATTATTGTTCAGGGTGAATATCATTATTTAGACAAATATTAGTCAATGGCGATAAGATGTCAACAATAATTAGTTTATGCTCAGCCAATGACTGCGAGTAACCGAACCCCTTTTATATTAATGAAACAGCTCATCATCATTTAATCATTTAATAAAAATAAATCTAATGAACATATTATATCTCATCTATCGCTATGACCTGTGGGGCATAAGGCAGAATCATGCAGGCCGTAGAAACAACAATAGACTCGACGACCCTAACTTATTACTAATATCAGTGAGGCATGAGGCAGAATCATGCAGATCGTAATAAAATAATAAGATCATGGGGTTAACACATCTTTCAACTTATCCCTACTTCAACGATCTCGTAATGTAAACTGTTCGTCAAAGTGCTCGATATCGGCTAAAACAGCCGATTCAAGCATAACACACTGTTAAGGTCGTGCCCTCTCAGGAACAGATCTACCAAATAACGATCCCCACTCCACGGTGCTAACAGTGGGGTGTGAGGTAGAATCACACAGGCCGTGATAATAGGCCATGGAACGGTTTTCGCTAGCCAATAGATCTACTCAAAATCAGACACGCCTTAACCGCGCGCTATGCACAATCAAGATTGATATAAAACAGTCGATAAAACATAACTCATCGTTTAAAGTGCAGATTAGATCAAATTTAGATTAACAAACAATGGGTTAAAAGGGATATAAGGCCGATCTATATCAATCCCAATCAGGCGAAGTGATATTGCTGTAATTAAATAAATAATGGAAGCAATAAGCAATATCCGTAACCTAATGAATCTATCCGAAGGAACGCCACCCTTAGATAGAGCCGATAACTTGACCTTAATCTAGTTCGAGCAGTGGAGGTTGACCGGATCGATACAGCCTTACTTGAACTAGACAAGAGTCAATAACTAACCTATATCAGAGTCGCAGTGGAGGTCGACTGGATCGATGCAGCCGTACGAACAGAGGTATAAGCCATGACGGTACTTACAGACAAGCAGTGGAGGTCGACCAGATCGATGCAACCATACTTGCTGAAGAACTCGCCGAGATCTACTCTACTCCTACTCCTAAGGGGTGGCCGGAGCCGAAAAAAGTAAATAACTTGTATTTGATTGATTGTGTGTCCTTTACAATAGCCGGGGTTTGATATTTATACCCGGGACCTACGCATGACTCCTATCTAAGCATGACTCATCACAATCTTTGGCCCTAAGAGAAAACATTCCTAATTTAAGATAACTTGGACTCTAATCTTTCCCTTTTTGTAGAGTCCAACATGCTTTGTCCTGGCGCCGATCGTAGCCTTTGTCGTTATCTGCTGGTGCTACCTGAAGAAAGCCGATTCTAGTGCTACATTTGAATTAGCTGGTTCTGATCTGCACGCAATTGATTCCTTGATGACATGATCTTGGGAGCTTTTGAGTCCCTACGACTCTTCTTCCAAATTTTAGTGTAAACACATGCCCCTAAATTTTGGGATAAAAGTAATTTTATTCCAAAATTATCACGTCTGTACCCCCGATAGGTCCGCAGTCATGGGTAAAGAATCTTGATCTGGAGTCTACTATTTGTCGCCGTCTATGTCAGCTCATGAGCCCATGCTTCAAAACTTTTACGAGAGCATCATTGCTTCACGGGCACTTGGATTCATCTTTCCAGGCTAGCTATAAAATGTCTATCTGACCCTAGCGAGAGCAACTCAACAATTCAGCCATCTGCCCCCTTGAGTGCTTCTGACTCCGCCGGAGCCCCCATGGTCTATCCTTTTGTTATGAAGATCTTGAGCGGTTAGAAGAATTCTTGTGCATAGGGTGATTGTGTCGCTCATTCTAGCGCTTTGTCGAGCAAGAGGATCAGCTATTGCGGTTGGAAGAATTCTTGTGATATCACCTGAGTCTTCTCTCCATGCTTGTAGAGATGTTCTAGTGTTTGCAAGGGCTAAAATGTATGGACACCTTCCCCTTATTTGTTCCACCAAATGCCATTGGGAAAGCCACAGGCTTCTTCCCCATAGTTTCTCAGTTACCGAGAAATCAGTTGGGCATCTATCAGGCGGGCGGCCTTTCCCCTTCTCTGGCACAATTTTATCAATGGGCCGATGTGACTTGGTTCACGATACCCTTCGGCCTTGTGGGGACCCAGACTCCCTTCAATCCAAAGAAGCCTTGGTGGGTCGATCTCTGGTCAATGTAAATTCTTTATATCCGCCCCACGATATTTTGTAATTTGGGAAAGCAATGAGTTTGAATCTGTTATATCTTTATTATTCATCCCCTGAATTTCCAGAGTGTTGATCCGTTTCCATTTTTTATTTCAATTTCACACCCTCGGCGAAATCTATCTTCTCACGTTCCCGAGCTATATATACGGGCCACGGTTGTGGATCGCAAAACAACCCGCTTCGTCTCAAACCTTCTGCGCCCTTAGTATAGTTCCAACTTTTTCCATAGATTTGAAATCATGGAGAACAGCAAGAGGTCTACCGAGGAGGCCCTCAACGGCTCTGCATCATCGCGCCAGCGCCTTCATCGCCAAGAGGGTGCAACTTGGGATGCAACTTGGGATGCTCCCATCGTTCCGGAGCAGAGGGGCGACTCTACTCAGTCTTTGGGGTCACCTTCAGCACCAATTCACCGCCAGCTCCCCGTTGCCCGTGGAGGCAGATCGACAATGATGATCTGCTGGCCTCCATCGATCGGACTGACCAGAATCTAGCCAGCTGCCTCTCCCTTGTAGAATCGGCTTTGGCCATGATTCAAGGCCGATTATCCCCTGAGGCCAGCTCGGTGGGGAAAGGTTGGCCAGAGCTAAAGCCAGAATCATGGGTGAGACATCTACCACAATTTTTCTGTCTTCTTCTTAACTTTGCCCCTAAGATTTTTGGTCATTCTTTCCTTAAATCTTTTTAGATCTAGCTGCTCAGTTGGAAAACCTTCGATCAGCTGTGGATCATGCGTCGAGATTTGTCAATGCCAGAAGCGCCGTTCTGGTGGTTTGCTTGTATGACATCTCGAACCGTGTCTGGGAGGTCGCTCTTCATGGCGTTCGTCATGGTGCTGTCATGGCGTTGGCTGCTGCACAAGCCCGTTCTAGCCACAATCTTCGTCTTCTTCCCCATGGTTTCCCAGATGCAGCGCACCCTGGGGAGCATGAGCGTTTGGTTGAGGATTTCTCTAGCGCCGCCAACTCGGTGGCCTTCAATACCCTGGCCGATGATATAGTAAGCAAAGTGTTTTCCGGCCCGTAGCTTGTAATAGGTGATATTTAGCAAACAACTTCCTCGTCTTGAGTGATTTTCCTTGGTTTCGTACTTCACATTAGACACATCACTTCGTCCGTGTTTGCTTTGCTTCTATAGGCGATACACATCGTACTGGCTTTTACCCCTTCGGGTTTATTTTTGCACTAGAGGTGATACCTTTCTGTTATCGGCTATTAGAGCTGACGACCGAACAAATTAGTTATTAAGTATTAATCCAAATGCTAGGGTAATATTTCTTTAAATATTTCCCATTGATTGCTCGACCAAATTCTTCCTCTCCTTTTAGTGTTTATAAAATATAAGCATTACCAGGCGCGCAACGTTTGATCCGATAAGGTCCTTCCCAGTTAGGTGACCATTTGCCGAATTCACCGTCCTTTGACCCGATCGGCAATTTCACTTTCCAGAACAAGTCTCCCTCAGAAAATTACTTAACCTTGACCTTTTTATTGTAATATTTTGCAATCCTTAGTTTATTGGCTTCGATATTTTCAAGAGCACGTAACCAAAGGCAACTCAAGTCCTCCAAGTTGTATATCATAAGATTCTTGTAGACTTCGGCTGACAAATCATTCTGCAATGTAACATGCCTCGACCCAGTCTGAACTTCCCAAGGAAGCACTACATTATGGCCATACACAAGTTTGTAAGGCGACATTTTAATTGATCCATGACAGGCCATCCTATATGCCCATAGTGCCTCATTAAGCATTGAATGCCACTTCCTTGGCCGTTCTTCAATCTTTTTCTTGATCAGCTTAATCATAATCTGATTGGATGCCTCTGCCTGGCCATTAGCCAAAGCATAGTAAGGAGAAGAATTTAGTAGCTTGATTCCCATACTGGCAACAAAATCTCCGAATTCTTCTGATG